TAATTTTTTTCTTTTTTATATTTTTCAACAAAACTTAATCATATCTATGGAGACCACGTTTGTGCATCTTTTGGTTTGACTCAAGTATTTCTTTGTATAGAGCTTGTTTGTTTTCGCAAATTGGTTGTGTTTTTAAGCAGACTTGCGTACTCTTCTTTAAATTTTTTATTAAAGCCTAGCTTTAGGCAGAAGTAAAAGTAGGTTTTGAGCTATCGGTAGATCCTGAACAAGAGCTGTTGTCTCCATAGGCTGCATATTATAATTAAGGGCTGTAGTGAGTCTTCTCACAATGATACGCATAGGCCTCAAGCTGTCAGTGAATTTTGCTACGACCTGCCTCCCAAAACGTTTTCTAATCAATTCTTGATCTCACCTTGTACTCAGCTTTATAGAAAGACATATAAGGGTCATAAAGAATATATTTCAGTCAGGGTTTTATGAAAATAAGATCAGAAATCGGGAGGATGACGAAAAGTGGATATACCTGTCTTCCTGTAAGCTGAGTCAGAAATTTCAAGTGTTGCTAAGAAAATGGAATATCAAAGTGATAAGAAAAACAAAGACAACACTCTTCACAAGCCTGCCGACGCAACACGAGAAGGTTGACAAACTGGATTGCTCGGGAGTTTATAGCATCAAATGGGGCAACTGTGAGCAGAAGTATATTGGTGAAACAGGAAGAAAAATTAGCCTACGAATCAAGGAACACCAAAGACTCTGCAGAAACATGGATACTGAAAGATTCGAAATAGCAGAACGCATCGAACTAACTGAACATGAAATCGAGTGGAAATCGACAGAAAGGCTGGCTGTATATTGTGGAAATACAAGTAAGATACAAGAAGCCATTGATATCCTTACTGAAAGAAATCTAATGAACATGAGACTTGAAGAAGGCAGGATAAGCGAAAACTTTACATACTGCTTAAACAAACTCGGAGAAGATCAGGGGACAGGAATATCAGCAAAAAGAAGACGATTGGACAAAGGTAATATTTTTAATTTTAGGAAAAGAAATTACAAGGAGACCAGAAAGGGACAATCGGATACCAAGATAAGACATATACAGTGAGCCTATTCAATTCAAGTAGAACCATCATATTTGGGGGTTGGCACGCGATATAATGTCATAGAAGAGCGAAAGAAACGGTTGCGGCAATTTCTAGTTGGCTATTACTAGATAGGTTTGCTCATAGGCTTGGTCCATGAAGTAAAGGCTTGACCACGAGATTTACTCGGTCCATATGCAGCACAGCGATAAGGAAATCTACAGTGTCAAGTTAGTTTGCAATGCCGAATTGGAATCAAGACTTTAGGGGCTTGCTCAGTAAGGCTGCTGTATACGTGCTATCAAAGGCTTGAGGCAGAGTGTAGAACGTCTTGAGTAGCCACGGCTACGGTGACAGCGATGAGGTGAAATCATTAAAACAGGAAGATAAGTTAAAGATCTTACGGCTAAAGAGAGGACTCTGATAGAAACCGGAGAGGATTTCAAATTAAACCGAAGCCTTGGATCAACACTCCCGGCACAGTGGGAGGGATGTGGAAGCTAGTGGGAAATGTAAATAGGTTCAAAATAGGTTTAGATGAACAAGTAAGAAATTGTGATATTGAAGGGGTGATGCGAGTATATAGGTTACTTAAATAGCCTGGGACAGGAGAGACACCACAACTGTTTAGCACACAGTTGGTCAAAGGCCTACTGAAGATGCCGACTACGATACCGGCGAAATGTCTGGGAATGTATTAAATCCACGGTCCGACTCTGGAAATTATTATGCATACTTTAGACTCGGGACAAGGTCCGCTCCTCTAGGTCTTCCTGCCAATATGACCAAGTTGCGAAAATAAGGTCAAACAACTTTATAATATATTTCCTCTGTTATTTACTTTTTCATTTTAAATTATTATCGAGATGATCCTACAATCAAGTAACCTTCATCCTGTCTGCTCCCTGTTTCTAAACAATTATTTTCATTTTTAAATTTCACAAGCGATTTTTTATTAGTAGTGTCAATTTTCGTTCCACTTGTTATGGATGCTGCATCTAAGACTAAGGACATTTTATTACAACATTTTAAAAATGTCCAAGTTATCGAAACTTTCATAAATTCCTATACTATCCTAGCTTACTGTAATGTTCTTTTATAATTAATCACTTCTCACCTATGATTAAAGTTTCATTGCTGGTTTAAAAGCTTATATTTGTCCAAGCTTAGAATAGTTTTTTAAGGCATCTATACGATATCCAAATTTCTTGTTATTGATTCTGGAATTATAGGCAGGCTTGTGTACAATAAGGAGTGGAACTGTCTCGAAATTTATTAAATTACCATATTTCTTCATTTTGCTATGAGAACTATAACCATATTCGGCCTCAAAAAAATTTGCATTGAAGAGTTTTATCATAACATTTATGTGGCTTGTCATCTTATCACTTGTTAGCATGCAGCTTCCTTCAGAGAAAAGCATGTCTCTTTTTGCCAGCAAAAACCTATTCAAACTCGTCTAGAATTTATTTCTGCCCCACATCTTACACTTTTTAAAAACACCTATGGTCGTAGCCTCTTTATGAACATACTCGAAGTTTTACTATCTCTTCCAAAGATTCTTTGAGGCTTCCCGTTACTATTTAAATTTATCAAACTATAGTATATTAAAACTTGGATAGCACAAGATATACGTATGCTAACGCCTCTTTATTTTACTATTTGATCCTCTACATTTTGATTTCAGGATTCGCGTCAAGTTAAATCTTCTCGTGGCTTATTATCAGCTTCGTTTATTAGCTTTTGTCTCTGGTGCATACGCCCAATTGATTTAAATATGTATAAAACCTCCCATAAGGTTCCATCTGAAGGCAACCGAATGTTTAAAGTATTTCTGCTAGGTAAACCGCTTGCCTTTTAGTAAAATTTCGGTTAGTTAAAGCCCACATGAGAGAACTATCTTATCCTGGCTCTAATTCTCTGTTGTGATTACTTTAACTTCGGTGGTTTGTGCTTGATGAAGAATTTTGTAAGTCGATCTCACTGTATTACGACTGCGGAGATTCGATTCCAGTGTGACGCCCAGGTTGACGTAGAACACGCGACATCCTTCTTCGGTTCGAGTAAAAGTGGACTGAGCTTTCTTACGTCTTGCCCCATGACATACATTGTCAAAACTGGCCCTTATTTTTACAGACACGAAGAGGTATCTCTTGAACTGCGTCAACCTGAACTTCATGGTAGAATTTAATGACTGCGCAAGAATTAACCTCGTCTTTCAGTTAGAACTACCGATGAATCTCTTCGTCAGAAACTTTCCTATGAAGTCACAATAGCAATATTATCACACAATATTAATCGAGACCTAGTTACTCATCGTATCTACTTCTTTGGTTATCATCATTTACTTGCTCAATCAATTCTGCTTTATCTCTATCACATATTAGCGCAATCACAGTATATAACTATCAACTTACAGGCAAATATATGGGCTTACCAACTAGTTACATCACTTCAGAACAACATAGTGCAACAAAAATTCTTGCAGATACAAAGAATAAATGGGTTTCGATTAATCTCCTGAGATAACATTGTTGAGAAGACTTTTAATTCGTATGAAAGTGCACGAATAAGAGATTGGTAGGTCGATCTCACCAGAAGAGGACGGCTGAATCCCGTTGTAATGCAGCCGTTTTGCTTTTATAAGGTGTTCAGGTTGACGCAGCCCACGAGACCTCCTCCCTCGTTTAGGGTGAAGTATGAAAGATAATTAGCTAAACCATTCTATATCTATATAGGTTTTTAATTTTGTTTTGCTTTTTTGAGTCTATATAAGAAGTAAGGTAGAGCTGGATAGTCTTCTTGCCGTAGTGTCAACTTGAGACTTTTAAAAGAATGAGTTCCAGTTCTGATGAGGTCCATCATATGATGGATGAAAGTTCAGCCTGTTTTCACCCGAAGCGAAGCAGGTTTCGTGGACTGCATCAACCTGAACGTCGTATAAAAGCTAAATAGCTGCAGTACAACGGGGTTCAGATCGACCTACGAATCTCTGCTTCATACATCCTTTTACGAACTGAGAGTCACCGCAACAAAATCATTCCTGCGTTGAATGGTTGCTTGTCTTAACTATGACAGGGTTGTGGTGGAACTTTCGCGACTAGTGCATAAATCTGATTTTAACCAGATTTATTTTACCAAATCATGGACTTGGTATTAGGCATAGAAACAGGATAGACTCAGCGGAGACTTGAGCTAGTTGGCTGACCATGAGAATTTCTCGGGGTCTTTAGTCTTAAGTTAGTCTAGCAAGCGCAGAATGTGGGAAATAACGTCTCGTGGAGCACAGATGGAGTGGCAGGGGTCGAGTGACATACTTGAACTAGGAAGATAGCAGACGGATCCTAAGGGGCAAGAGAGAGACTCTGATAAGTCCTAAGGAAGGAGGACTGCGTAACCATATGGCAGACTGATTAACATTTCCAGCACAAGCGTGTAGAGGAGTGAGATCGCCAGCGTAGAGCGTGGAATGTTCTCATGAAAGCCGCTCAAAAGAGCACACCACACTACATTTAAATAGGCAAGGAAAGAAATTGTGGTAGTGAAGGCGTGATACGAGCATACAGGAGAGGTGAATAGCCCAGGGCAGGGGAAGTACCACAACTGTTTAGCACACATTTGTTTAACGGATCGGCTTCACTTGTCCCTTTTGACGAGTTGTAATATGATGCTAAGAATGGCAAGACTCACTGATGATGCCGCAGAAACGTCTGGAAATGTACCACGCCCACGGTCAACTTTGGAAATTATCATGCATAAAATGGATTCCGGACTGGGTATGTTCCTCTAAGCCTTCCTACTAATATGACCAAGTTGCGAAAACAAGGTTAAACAACTTCTATGCAACTAAAGGAGACTGCGACCACACAAAAGTCCACACCATCTTCATCTTCATATCTCAAGTTTAATTATGTTTTAGTAGACCATTTTTATTCTAAGCTTTTTATAAAAATGAACACCACAAGTATGAATTTGACAAAACTTGTTCAACATTTTTATATCCCTATACGCTTAATTTCACTTCGCCCATTAATCATATGTTTACTCTCCTTAATATTTTTCTTTACCTTCATCTTATCTGCATCATTCTCTCTTCATTTCTCCTCTCTCTTCTGACGTTTTTTTCACACTTAGATGTATCTCGTGGTGGCGTATATAATGTTGTGATCGGCAATCGTGATTGGTTGCGCCGCAACCAGATACGTCTCCCTCTTCTTCTTCTACCAGGTACACAGGCCACTCTATGCAACCCTTTACAGGTGTCAGATAATGTGACCTCCAACCTGGCGTTCTCGTCGAGTGCGGCTTACTCTTCTTCCTGCCCTTCAGCTACTGATTCTGCTCTTCTTGTACCGGTTGCAGAGAATTCTTCTGTTCTTTCGGCTGCACCTGGGCCGACTGTGCGTGACTGCTCGCTTGACGATCCGAGAGGTCCTGCAACATGTGGTAGCTGGCAGGAGGCAGTCAGCCTTGAAGCCTTTCTGTCTCGAGATGAGGAAGATGGTCAGACCGTTGTGC